GACACCCAGATGACTTAAATCATTAAACAGGATTAGGCCCATTAACACAAGCCCAGTTACAAGATAAGTTAAACATAAGAATGGGCTAATAAGAACTCTTATCAGCCGAACATCACTCTAACATTCTAACAATGTTCATTAACTTAAAGGATGTACCACCCACCCTATAGTTTTAAATTTCATGCTAGGGTGTGCCAACCAATTTCAGTCTGTCCAAAAGTCAAGTAAGACTAAAAAAATTGGGAGATGCACCCCTGGTATTGCTTTTAAGCATTCTTGTTTCAAAATTAGTAAATCAGTATTTTTTTGCCAGTTCCTATAATTTCTTTTATTTGGGTCCACAAGAGCTAGGAGAAGACCAAAAAGGACATGGGTTGAAGTATGAAGAAAATGTTTTGAGGACCTAAAATTTAATAATATGCCACCAAACAGAGCAGAATGGGGCAAGGCTTTATTGAGTTGAGTATACAGGTCATACTAGAACTGTTTTGGGCTAATTTGATTTGTGCAGTATTAAGGAGCCATTGCAAGTTCATTTTGTTCCTTATTATTATTATTATTATTGAATCTCCTTTTTGTTTCTTTGATTGGTTTCTACATTGCATAACTTGTAGAGAAGTGATGATTAATGCCTTTAGTTTTTAATCCTTTCTATGCTTCTTGGCCCCTCCAAAGTTGAATAAATATAATTAACAGAAATGTGGAGACATTGTGGGGTAGGGATGTGCAATGGGTCACCTGCTGACTGTATCCTAACACTTTAAACATAAATAACCATATTAACAATTATAATATTTGGTTTTCACGATTACTAAACTTCCATTTTGTCAGATGTTATATTGTATTACTGAAAACCCATTATTTGTTGAATATGAAGGGTTGTCCTGAAGTTTGGTAACTAAATTTTATGTTCATATAATAAATTTTAAACTTTTCCTATCTTCCTCAAATTAAACTGACTTCTATGAAAAACTTTTAAAGTTCCTCTTTTTTGGTCAGCAAAGAAAGGACTTAAAATTTCCCATTTGCACATGGTAAAATGTATATTGAAGTATTGAACCATTATTGCCTACAAGTTCTATGCAGTCCTTAGGAAGACATGGATTTTAATTCACTAATCTAATGAGTTAAGCTTTTGGCCCTGCCAAACTGTCCACCCACAAACAGGCATCCAAAAAAGAAAAAATTATAGCAAAAAAAAAAAAAAGATAAAAAAGAAAAGAAAAGTTCAGTATCTAGGAACAGAGCTCGAGGATAATGAACTTTTCATGAACAAAAGTATGAAAGTACAGTTTAATGATCTTCTATACTGCTCTAGGCTGCAATCTGTCGCTACAAGAAAATGAAATTACAGTATATTGGGGGGGGGGGGGTTAGCCCATCCCCAACCCATAACCCCCTGAACCCAGGTGCAGGCGGGATTCGATCCCAAGTCTCCATTATGACCAGCAGGAGACCTTACCAACCAGCTGGTTGGCACCTTGCATCCAGTTAAGGTTTTCTTGGCAAAGAAAGAAAGAGAAAAGCCTAATAAACTCATGTATGGTCCTGGTAAAAGCAAATTCTATAATAAGAAAATCAAATTGAATAAAACTAAATCCCTCACAACAAAGTTATGCCATAATATGAAAATCATGACTACCCACAAAACAAGACTAGTCTAAATTGACTAAAGCAATTGTAGAAATACAGTAGATCAAACTTGATGGTGATCCCCACAATATTTTTTATTGTTTTTATTTATGTTACTTATTTTCTGTTAAGCAGTGTTTATGTTCTCTGTTATAGGCGGCAGGGCATTTCTGTCATTGTACTCTTTTATTTTTTGCTCATATAAATAGCATTGAGTGGGGCGACAGCACTTTCTTTTCTGCTCCCCTTGTTCTCTCCCTTTCTCTGTGCTCTCTCTTCTCTCTATATTCTGGTTTTTTCTTTTCATTTCTGTGCTGAAATCTAACCTAAACTAGGTTCAGCCATCAATCTTGCTGTCAACTGCAATCATATTTTAACAACATATTTTTGAGGTATTCTTGTGGCCTAAATGATAATAAGGAAAGCATCAAATGTGAAGCTCTAAAAGAGAACATTTTGAACTATCTTAGTCACTATGAATGGTATCAAATTCTGAAAAGAAATCCCTAAGCAACAAGACATGTAATGAATTTGAGAGAAGATATCCTAGCAAGGGAGTTGAAAGCTACTTTCACATGGATACAGAGATTATCAAATGACATGGTGGATGCACTAGATAGATGGGGGCTAGCAGGGACTGAATGTATTATTGTATCTAGGATCCACTCATAGGCAAATGGAAACACGAGACATGTAATCAAAGGAAAGGGCTTATCTTGGAGTAGTGAGATGGGCTAGCCAATTGGATTTATGAGGCACTCGGCACAAATTACCTTGTATATGTTAACTATTCTATTCCACACATCAATAAAAATCGTTATCAAGTAATCAAAAAAAAAAAAAAATCCTTGAACAAGTATGGATACATAAATTCGTATATAATTAGTACTTACAGAAGAGATTGGTTTTCACTAAGGTTATTCAGAGCATTGAACATCTCAACTACGACCAGCACTGTCATTGCTACAGTTGATGGATGTCGATCATCAAATACACTGCATGGATATGTTGTGTTCCTTGTTGAACAAGTGTCAAAGTTCATCTGCGATTATAGAACAAACATCAACTAGCTCGTCTATTTGGGCACAAAGAAAATACCCAAAGGATAATCATGTTAAATGAAACTTTCAAATTGTCAGAACTAAGAACATCTAATCTATACTATATATAAAAGTGGGAATGCAATGTGAAACTTTTTTTGGACTAAAATTACCCTCTACTTCTTTGTTTGAGAAAGGGTATAAAAGTCATTTTATTACAGCTTTAATGTCAACTTTTATGATTACTAAAATGCCCATAATTGTGTATTTAGTTCATCTTTAATGGTAAGGGCTGAAAATGTAACTTCAATTATAACTTCCCACCTCATTTAATCCCCTCTCATTAAGTCTTATACTTAAATTATTAACTCCCATTTTCTCTTATTAAATCCTATATTTAAGTTATTTTTTACTAATAACTGCTACTAATTAGATCTATGTCAATATTTTTAACAACATAAACCCATATATTTTAAAACTGACTAAAAAGACAAAACCATTCTTTGTCCAAGTGGTGGCTAAGAAATTCAACCATCCGAATCAAATTGATCAACCTAAGAAGTCATAGTTAGGTAATAAAATTTTTAAAATAGGAAGAAATATAGAAAATTACAAAAATGTAGAAAAAATTAGACACATTTATGATATTTTTATCAATCAAATTAAAAGAATAAGTGTAATAAACAATAATTATTTTTATTGATAATGAAAATGAAATACATAATTTAGAACTAACCAAAAATGAAATTATTTTACTGTTTGACAAAAATCAATAGTTCAACTTTTGGGTCAAATGTGTTAACATTTAATGTCATAAATAAATAATAAAAATTAATAAAATATAAAAATGAAAAAAATACATAAATTTTGTAAAAAGAAAAAATATTCAGGCACATATATAATATCATATTAACAAAAAGTAAGTGTAACATCAAAATTATTTCTACATAGAAATAAAAAAAAAAGGAAAAAATTGAACACATCTATAATTCTATATTTACACTAATATTAAAAATATAAAAAAGATTGTGGAACTTTCTTTTGAATAAAATACTCATTTTTGGATTTGGTCCCTATTTAATTGTGATGTTTAAATTGTAAATTGAACTACTACTGCTCACATCATTCCCCTCTATTTAAATCTTACATTTTTTTTTGATAAATGAACAAAAAAAGATACACCAAAAAGATAAATCATTACAAAAAGAAGAATCTAGCGAGGCAGGTAGACCTATCAATGATATTTGAAACTTCACAACTAAATCCAATTATCACATATTTGGATGAGGTGTTTATGTAATTAGATTTCGATTTTGCAATTTGCATCCGATTAATAATAAAAAACAAAATAAAAAAATACATATTTATAAAAAATTGTGGAGGATACATTATTACTATCATTATCATCATCTGGAATTGCCACGTGCAAGCACATGCACACTTACTAGTTTATATAAAGAATTGAACTCATAGATTCTTGAAGCTCTGCAATAATTGGATAAGGGGCTCTAATATTCTCATAATGAAGCTGGTATATTGTGACTTGATCAGTTTTGAGTCAAAGGAAAAGTTTGACATTCAAGGAGACCAAAGGAGTTGTAAAGGCCTGTAGTCCCTTAGACATATTTTTTGTTTTGACTTCTGGATTTAAAAAAGTTAAGAGTACTTCCAGGCATATAATAGTAAAAGGAATCATTCTCCAGTGTTTTAAAAGTGGGAGGCATAAGAAAAGCGTAGGGGATAAGGAGAGGTGTGCACCCAAACGAAGCAAGGAGCAAATTCTTGAAAATTCAATAAAAGATAAAAACAAAATTCTTGGGCCAAGAATAAACAGATCATGCCATGGATCTATAAGCATGAATTTAGGGAATTAGAAAACATCACACATGCTGAATACATTCAATTGGGTAAGAAGGATTGCAAATGGGATGGATGATACTCTAGCAAAACAAGGGGTATATAGGCAACAATTGTTTTGGGCGCAATTGTAATTTTTGGGGATTAGATCTGACCCATTGTACTATCAAGATTTAGTATATCTTAATAAAATTTTCAGTTCTTATTGCAGATCATATAATATATATATATAAACAAAATACATAAAAATTTTGGAAAGCCTTAATTTTAAAGAAACTAAATTATTAAAATTCTTATTGGCTTAAATAAGAATATATAAGCAAAACATGTAAGACAAATTCAAAGTGAAAAGAAGCTCAGGGCAAAAAGGGGGGAGGGTTCTTATCTTTATGGAGTTAAAAATTTTGTCTTGGAATGTGAGGGGTTTAGGGTCGGGGAGAAGAAGGTTGGTGGTGTGCGACTTGTTGAAGAGATGGGGGTCAGAGTTGGTTTTCTTGCAAGAATCCAAATTGGAAGTGGTGAAATCTGAAACAATCAGGAGTATCTGGGATAGATCGAAATGCAAGTTGATTGACTCCCATGTTGGTGAATTCTCTATTTCAGTTGAATTAGAGTGGGATGGGGGGAGTGAGGGGTTTATTTACTAATGTTTATGGTCCAACATTAAATGAAGAAAGGGAAAGGCTTTGGAAGGATTTATCAGAAGCAAAAGGGTCTTCCACAATTCCTTGGGTCGTAGGGGGAGACTTCAATGTCACTAGATTTATGGAAGACAGAAATGGAGGTAGAAATGGAGCTAGAGACAGGAGGCGATTTGCAAACTTTGTGAATCAATTTGAACTAATAGACCTTCCTCTATCAGGGGCTCAATTTACGTGGACAAACAACCAAGATAATCTTATCCTAGTCAAACTTGATAGATTTTTGGTGTCCCCGGGGTGGGAAGACCTATTTCAAAACCTGAAACAACTGGCTTTGCCAAGGTCAATTTCAGACCACTCCCCTCTTCAACTACTTTGTGGTGGGCAAGCCTGAAGAAAGTTAAGCTTTAAATTTGAGCATGCCTAGTTTGAATAAGAAGACTTTGTACCTTTTTAAAACAAAAAAACACTTGGACTGAATCTCAGGTGGTTGGAACAAGCTCTTATATATTAGCAAAGAAATTGGGTGCAATCAAGGAATCTTTGAAATCTTGGAAGGCAGAAAATTGGAACAAGTCAGAGAAAGAAAAGAAGAGGTGTCTTGAGGAAATCAAAGAGATAGATAGAACAGAGGAAAGACGTCCCATTTCAGAGGAAGAAAAGAAAAGAAGGCTGTCAGTGAAACTACTCCTAGATAATTTAGCCTACAAGGATGATCTGAAATGGAGGCAAAGGGCAAAGGTGAAATGGCTCAAGGTTGGGGACATAAATTCTAGAGTAAATATAGTATAGAAAAGTTTGAGCTTGATGGAGAGGTTTGGAATCTTGGCGAGACAAGAAAAGAATGGTTATAAACTTCTTCTCGAATCTCTTTAAGGAAGAATGAAAAAAAAGTTAATTTCAAAAGAATTTCTGAGCAACAAAGATGCTTGGAAGCCCCTTTTTCTGAAGAGGAAGTTTGGCAAGTGAAAAAGAATCTTGATTCAGAAAAATCCCCGGGTCCGGATGGGCTTACCAATTTATTTTACAAAAGCTGTTGGAAAGTGGTTAAACCAGTTGTGATGCAGGTTTTCCAAGAGTTCCATAGGAACACCTCATTGGAAAGAAGCTTAAATGCCACGTTCATCTCTTTGCTCCTCAAAGTTGAAGGAACTACAAACTTGAAGGATTTCAGACCTATTAGCCTCCTGAACAGCTTCTATAAAATTCTGGCCAAGGTTTTAGCAAAGAGGTTGAAAAAGGTATTGCCTAATGTGATATCTCAAAATCAGTTTGCGTTTGTCCCCGGTTGCCAAATGTTGGACAGTGTCTTGGTAGCAAATGAATTAATTGATTCAAGGTTAAGGGAGGACAATCCGGGCCTGATCTGTAAACTTGATCTTGAGAAGGCTTATGACAATGTCAATTGGAGATGTTTGGACTTCATGTTGGATAAAATGAATTTTGGGCAAAAATGGAGGAATTGGATAAAAGCATGTGTCACCTCTCTCAAATTTTCAGTCATCCTAAATGGCTAATCAGTGGGCTTTTTCAAAAATTCTAAGGGGCTTAGACAGGGAAACCCTTTCTCACCTCAATTGTTCATTTCTGTGATGGAAATACTTACTATTTTCATTCAAAAAACAGGGGAGGAGGGTGGTGGAAGGGTTTTGAGGTGGTTCCCGGAGGGGAGAATGTTCAGGTACTGCAATTTGTAGATGACACTTTATGCTTTATGGAAGCTAATGGAGATCACCTAGATCTATTAGTGGGAGTTCTCAGCTGGTTTGAATTAGTGACAGGGCCGAAAGTTAATTGGAGCAAGAGCTGTTTGATCCCTGTGGGAAAAGTGGAAAATGTAGAGGATTTGGCAGAGAGATTAGCTTGTCAGGATGGGTTCCTTCCAACAAAGTATTTGGGACTCCCTCCAGGAGCAAAATGCACTTCAGTATCTGGGAACCAGTTTCAGAACAGTTGGAAAAGAAATTGGCAGTTTGGAAGGCTAAATACTAGTCCTTGGGGGGCAGAATCACCCTTTTAAAAAGCTCCTTATCCAATCTGCCTGCATTCTATCTCTCCTAATTTCCAATTCCAAGTAAAGGGGCCCAAAGAATTGAGAGGCTGCAAAGGGACTTTTTATGGAAAGGTTGGGAGGAGGACAGGAAGAAAATCCACTTGGTGAATTGGGATAAGGTATGCTGTCTGAAAGTTAAAGGAGGATTGGGTATTAGGCGAATGAGGATTTTAATGAGGCTCTTCTTGGGAAGTGGATCTGGAGGTTCAGGTTGGAAAGAAACAACTGGTGGAGGAAGTTAATGGCAATTAAATGCAACACAGATAGAGGAGACTGGATTACCACTTCTTCTCTCCCCTCCTTAGGCTGCTCTGTATGGAGGAAAATAATGGACATTCTCCCCATTTTCAGCTGAGGCTTAAGCCCCAACCTTGAGAAGGGTGACAGGCTGTCCTTTTGGAAAGATCCTTGGTGTGGAAATACTCCTCTATCAGAGTTATTCCCACAATTA